ATTCTAACAATCAAGGAAATACTTAGACAAAAACTGCAATGAAAGGCACAGAGAACAAAACGATATGAAAAGCGTTGTAGGTTCTATCGACAAAATAAAATATTCCAAATGTACTTCAAGAAATTTTACATGGAAATTGGAAAAGCAGTTATAGAAGTAAAAAATTGAAGAAGTGCCAAGATTTTGGGAGAATATTTAGACCATCCCAAAGGAAGATAACCCCAATGCAAAGTGGGTCAAATGATGACAAGAAAGAATGAAAGATAAACCTGTGAAAGAATGGGAAAATATAACCAAGATTAATGTTAGGCAAACTCTAACAAAATCCCCAAAATGGAAATCCCCAGTAAATGACAAGATACCCAACTTTTGGCTCTATCAGATGTCATCAATTCATAAAACTCTTTCATAAATTTAATCAATGCTAATTAATAATCCCAATAAAAGTTCACAATGGATCACTGAAGATATTACCAAAACGGGTGAAACAGATGATCCTGGTGACTTAATGTTAATTCAGTTAATAAAAAGAAAGCAAAGGAAATGGTATCCCGAAGACTATAAACAAGTCATGGCATCTTTTTTCACTGTACTCGAAAATCCACAAGAGACATACCAAATCTGGAGAAATATAGTAGGAACTAAAATAAGAGCCTATCTCGACCCAAATATACTTGCCAATATCCGAAGGGACATTATGCGAAATAAAAGACTCAAATATAGAAATAGATAAGATAAAACTAAATATAATAAAAATGAAAGGAAATACTTAAACGGAAACTGTAATGAAAGACAGAAAACAAAACGATATAAAAAGTGTCGTAGGTTCGATCATCAAAATACGATATTACAAACGTACCTCAAGAAATCTTACATGAAAAATTGAAAAGCAGTTATAGAAAAAAAAAAACACTATCTATCGAAGAAGTGCCAAGATTTTGGGAGAATATTTGAAGCAGCCCAAAGGAATATAATCACAATGCAGACTGGATCAAACGGGAACAAGAAAGAATGAAAGATAAACCTGTGAAAGAATGATAAAATATAAACCAAGAATAATGTCAAGCAAGCTCAAATAAAATCCCCAAAATAGAAAACCCCTGGAAATGACAAAGTACGCAACTTTTGGCTCTATCAGCTGTCATCAATTCATAAAACTCTTTCCTAAACTGAATCAATGCTAATTAATAAACACAATGATATTTCACAATAGATCACTAAAGGTATTATATAACTCTTATCAAAAACGAGTGAAACAGATTATCCAAAAAGTTATAGGTCATTAGTATATCTGTCCACCACATATAAATTGATCACATTTGTCCTAACGAACTGTACTTACTCTTTTCTCGATGAAAACAACATTCTATCCCTGAGACAAAGAAGAAGTCGAAGAAGTTCATATGATTAAAAAGATCAATTACTAATAAATAAAATGATCCTGGAAAATGGCAGGAAAAAAGGTAGAAATCTCAGCACAGGTTGAATAGAATATCGTCATCTTTTGATAGTGTGCCACACTCTTGGGTTCTTTGGGCTTTGGAAATGAAGTCTTCTCGGTGATAGTAAATTTCCTTAAATATTGCATGGAACTGTGGAAAACCACATTATACCTAAATCACTCCAAAGACACTACCACTTCCAATTATTTGAATATCCGACGAGGAATCATTCAAGAAGACTCCTTGTCGCTCCTGTTCTGTTTGTCTTTATTCCTCCTTTTACATGAACTAAACCGTAATAACACTGGATACTAAGTAAAAAAAAAAAGAAAGTGTTTAGTTACCTGTTCTATATGGATAATATCAAAAGCTTTACCAAAAGACGACAAAGAGTTGAAGGGTATCCTCAATACCGTAAAAAGGTTTCTGGTTCCTTCAACTCTGTACTTCTGACGTCTCCGTCTGAAATATGAAATGTTATTCAGTAATTATTGCTATCTCCCCTCTTCCATAGGTGCATTTCTGGAAAAAAAATTGTAATAATAAAGAGTGTATCGGCCTGGAGAACTGGACTAAGAGCAGCAATAATGAGAGGGAATAAAATTTAAAATGAAATTATAATAAATTATAACAAGTGAAGTGTTTTTATTTGTCGGTAATATTTGTAACTTATTGATATACTAAAGTTATCTTCCTTCTACTTGCAACGTTAGGTAGGAGTGTCGTTGTTATCACAATTGTGAACAATTCTAAGATGTTAACAAATCCGAGGGCTGGAAAGAACGACGCCATGTAAAGACAGAGTACAACAATAATAATTGAAAGAATATATTAAAAACAACGTTAATTTTTTTTTATATAGTATGGTGCAATTGATAACGACTCGGCAAGAGAAACCAGAGAGCCGAGTTCGAATTCGAGTCGGGTTCGTTACATTCACTTATGCGCAAATACCCTTAGGAAAGGCATGAATCCACCTTTTCTTCCACCAGCTATGGATTGAATAGCAGGACAGACTGGGTCCTATAGCCTTGTTTGGCAACCAGTCTATTGCAGAAAGAAACGTTAAAAGTAATAATGAAGAGTGTATCGATGCAGAATATTGGAATAAAAGGCTACAATAATAAAGACAAAGAAAGACTCGTAATGAATTAATTGTAATAACAAAGAGTGTATCAATTTATAGTGTTGGGTTGAAAAGGCACAATATTAAAACGGAGAAAGATGAGTGTAACGAGAGAAGAGTGAGGGAAGACATATTTATTCTCCCTTGGTACATTTCTTCCGTTATGGACATTATTATATCCATGACATAATAACACCGTAGTTCACGGATCGGACGGAAAGGAATGGCTGAAAGGAAAAAGAAGAACAAATAAGCTTTGTTTTCAGAGAGACTTTTATGATACTCTTCTCTTCTTGGCTTGGCTTCGCGAGCGAAGATTTATGTAGTGGACTGTCCACGTCGACTGAAGGCACGCTGATATCCAACTAGGCCGATACGAAACAGGCAAGTCCGGCCGCAGTGACTGCAATTAAAGATCTGGTCTGGTATAGTTGCTGAGGCTTCTCGGTCCTTCCTCCCGCGATGTTTCTCCTGCGGGTTGGCCCTGCGAGAGGCCTCAAATGTGGAGTCGGCCTGGTGGACGGTGCGGCGTTAGGCTTGACGGTCAGCAGCAAGTGTCAACCATTGGCAATGGTCAATGTGGCAGGTACCAAGGAACTTCTTGAGGGTGTCCTTATAACGCTTCCTTTGTGCTCCTTTATCGCAGTGGCCAGTGGAGAGTAGGCCATAAAGGGCTATCTTGGACAGGCGATGGTCCCCCATTCTGGAGACGTGTCTTGCCAAGCGTAGCTGTGAGTTCAACAACATAGATTCAATGCTGGTGATTTTCGCCCATTCGAGGACCTCAATGTTGGTGACATAGTCACTCCAGTGAATGTTGAGAATAGTACGGAGACAGCGCTGATACTAAGACATAATCTACCCCTGAGCCCGGCACGACAGGGATGAAGGTGAATTTAAACGTATTTATTTTTAGATAAACACGTCAATGACTGGGAAAATTTGATTCGTTTTATCGAAGAGTCTTGCATTAGCAGCAGTAATAATCACTGTTAAACAAACTCACTTTTCCTTTTTATATATATATATAATGGATTTGTATTAATCCGAGAGATTTGTATCACTTAAAACGTTATTTTTCATGGATACTTGTATCTGGGCAGATGCAATATACTATTTATTAAACAGTATATTTATTTATTTTCACCTACCGGCCTGAATATTCGAGAAATCTTACTAAAGAATGCGCTCCATTTGGCAGTGTAACGAGAGCTTTTAGAAGAATGATTTATTGTCTCATTTACATTTTTCCCACTATGAGCATTATTATATCGGTGACATAACAACACCGTAGTTCACGGATGGGACGGCGAATGGCTGAAAGGAAAAAGAAGGACAAATAAGCTTTGTTCTCAGAGAGACTTTTATATACTACATATTCACAAAACTATACATATTATATATATACTCAGAGCACAATATATCAAAAAATATCTATACAGCAAGGCAAAGTATTAGAAGAAGCAAAAAGAAAAGGTCTTACATATGATTTGGAGATACTCCTGACCAAGTGAAGCCATTTTTATGACTCCAGATTTAAACAGACCGGATTCATCTATGCCCCAAAGGAAAACGGCACCATGTCTGTGTAAGCTGTTTGTGGGGTGTGTAGATTTAGCTTCAACCTGGGCCAAAGGGCCCAGGTTAAAAGAAAGAAACCTTACTGTTTGGTTGCTAGCCACAAATTGAAAAATGACTGCCACTTTGGTCATTGTATTGCGTGACGTCACGAAGCGGCTATCATGTGACCCACGTAACTTATCTCCGCCAAAGTGAGACAAGCGCTTTCTGTATTCCTATACGAGAAATAAATAAATAGTAATAATGAAGAGTGTATTGACCCCGTACGAATGGATAAATATTTATAATCATAATATGGAAAAAAGACTATAAATAAATAAAAAGTCATAATTGTTTGTTATGTTTTTATTTAAATTTAGCGTTGTGAATTAATTTTATCTACCCCTGATTTCCGGTTCAGAAGTTTCTACGCGAGATTTTCATTATCTTGACGTAACTGTAACCTTCAAGCCTTGATAAAGTCATTGACCTCGGTTAGTCATACTTATTTTGTTTCCTAAGTAAGCGAAACGTCCGCAAATGCTGGTGTCAGACAGAATCAAAGAGTGGACGGACATAAGAATGCCGGATCTCTTGAGAGCCACTGCCAACAAATCATCCTAAAGGAGGTTGTCTGTTTCTTTTGCCCTTAGGTCCCACTAACGATTGAAGCAGTCAAAGGACTGACGAGGATGATGATAATGATGATGATGATGATGCATGTTACTGCTGTATTAAACAAACTAGAGCAGTAGAGACTTTATCAATGAAAACGAACGCACCTAAACTGGCCACGTGACATCTGTTTTGCATGTACCGGTGAAGGCGAAACGATTAGACATTTTTCAAGAAACGCTGGTGTCCGGTGATAGTCTCCTCATTGCTTATGTTGTGCTCCATTCAACTCGATGGTCAGTCAAAGTTCAAAGCAATAATAAATAAATAAACTCTTTTGTTTTATTACTGGCGTTACAACCTGAAACAATGACATAATTGTATTGAAATCACAACGCGCGCTAAATTACATATTACAATTCTCTCTTTTACTCGACAAGATATAGCTTGTAACATTCTCGGCACCTTCCCCGAGACGAGGGGACACCCATCGATCTCCTTCACAGATCAATCTTTTCGATTTTCTTTTTCTATATATGAACCTTTTTTTTTTCAAGGCATTCATTTATTCATTTTGCGCCGCTGTGGTCACCACTCCCCACCATCTCACAATTACGGTTCATGCTGACATTCAACACAGATTAATACAATGTCTTGCCGATTCCTTTTGTCCCGGGGCACGTTGAGCTTACCCCGTCCCTCCTCTCAGAAGTAGAGATTATTAGTTGGTTTTTATCTATCTATGCTAAATATATCTATTAGTCGGTTCATATACTCAGTCTGTTAATTATCTATCTATCTATCTATCTATCTATCTATCTATTAGTTGTTTTTTTATCTATCTATGCTAATTATATCTATTCGTCGCTTCATATTCTCAGTCTGTTAATTATCTATTTATCTGTCTATCAATCAATCAATCTATCTATCTATATATGTTTGAAAAATATATAGAAAATAGGAAAGAACTCGTTAGGTAAATAATCCAAAGTTCTTTAGTATTTTTGTTATTATTTTTAAAAAATAGTGCTCGATACAAAAGTAGAGCATAAATATAATTATTTATTTAAAAATAATCATATTTTAAAAAATAATCATATTTTAAAAATAATCATGTTGGAATCATATTTTTTAAATAAATAAATATATATATATATATATATATATATATATATATATATATATATATATATTAGTTGTTTTTATCTATCAATGCTAATTATATCTATTCGTTGCTTCATAGTCTCAGTCTGTTAATTATGTATTTATCTATCTATCTATCTATATCTATCTATCTATCTATCTATATCTATATCTATATATATATATATATTATTTGTTTTTTATCTATCTATGCTAATTATATCTATTAATCGCTTCATATTCTCAGTCTGTTAATTATCTATGTATCTATCAAGATCTACAAGGCAGTAGGTGGTTTGAATTCAGAGTTTTCCTTCTAGACTGGCGATTGTATAAGGAGATCAAAATACAGTTCTTGATGGTGAAACTAGAGTGACGTCTACGGGGCGCAGGCCTGGACGATGGTGTAAGGAGGCCGTACGCTACCCTGGCTAAATGGCCTGTTCTCGGACGTACCGACAAGATCCAAAGGAATACAGGGTATTACGTTTGGGGATATTTTAATGTTCCACCATTTTTACGTCTTTTCATCTCTACCTGCCTGTCAATCATTCGTTCCCCGTCTCTTGATATCCAACCAGTGAGTCTGTCTTTCTATGTCGTTTTTTCGTCTCCATCCTTTCAACGTCTCTGCTTTTTCTTTTTTTTTTTCAACTAATTTTCTTGTCTTTTTTTCACCTAGCTTTCTTACCACCTACATTTCCTCATTTCGATATCCCTTCATCATTTCTCTCGTCTTATTCGCAATTCTTTCTCTTGTCGGAGTTAGCTCCTCCTTAGCTCCTTAACCCTTCACCAGGGGTCTCTCTCCCCTGGCTATAAATACTGGCTGACCCATCGCCTCGATCTCTTTTTTTTTTTCTTCAGGCCTTCGGCCTTATACCACCTCGCAGATGTGAGCTCTCACAGATACAGCGTTTCCCAAATGCTGGGAACACGCTAAGAACAATACACGTACGTACGAACACTCACCACACCACACACACACATAATATTCACCACACGTACTCTGTCCATGTAACTGTCCATGTAACTTGTAACCTTTCTTGTTATTAATACATATATTTGTTTACATATATTTATCGGTCTTGTTTGTTTTCTTTGGACTTAATTCAAGTCCAACTTTCTCATGTAGTTGGATCGGCTAGCAAGAAATTTTAACTCACGTGTGTTCTACAATACATACTCGTCGCCCCACAGTCCGCTACACTCTCTTAATATTATTAGGTATGTTTGTAGGTCTGAAAAGCTAACTAATCCCTGTTCAGTAATGTCGGGAATTGAACAGATAATACACTGATTCTAGATAGAGTCTAGCTAAAAAAAGTCACGCAAAGTGAATAATTTAAGGAATAATATACTGACGTGTCAAAGGTGATAATATAGCAGTATATAAAGGTCACAGTAGGTGGCGCCATCGTAGTTTGATAAAAGAAAGGATACAGTAGAAAATATTTGTACATTCATCATTCCTTTTCCGCATACGAAACTACCGCATTTAGTAGCATAAGTTACTCCCCCTCCTTCCATTTCAGAAGAGAATATCCTTAAAGTCTTTTTTGGATGTTGCTGGAACTTCATCCATGTTCCCGATTCGGTTTACTTCAAAACAATTTTCTTTTCGTGCATGTTTTACAACCTTTTGAAATTTTGATATTTTAGAAAAAAGGGGGGATTTTGTACGCTTTCAAATGCATTAATCAATGTTTCTACAGAATGAAGGATACCATGGACCGAACATGTGAGCAACGATGAGGTTTTGGAGAGGATGCAAACAAGGAGGAAGCTTATGCTTAACACCAGGAAGAGGCAGCCGAAATTTCTGGGACACGTAATGAGAAAAGACGGTTTGGAGAATCTGATACTCACAGGGTGGGTAGAGGGAAAGAGAGACAAGGGAAAGCAATATGTGACATACCTAATGGGCTTAAACAAGTGGATGACGAAACAAGGTTTGGAAGAAGTAGCAAAAGGACAAAACATATTGGGAGCTACAAGGGATAGGAGGAAGTGGAGAGCCATGATCGCCTACGTCCTGAAGGGACACGGCACATAAAAAAGAAGAATCAATGTTTGTATAAAGTTTATATAAAAACATGATAAAAATATGGATGAGTAACAAAGATATAAAGGGATAAGGGAAATAATGTGATGATACAGGTAAAAGGAGAGAGACGAGGCATTCTAATAATTTATCTTATGCACATGCAATTTCTATGAGGTAAACTAATTATTATTATTATTATTTTGGTATATGGGCACGTGGCAGAGTTAGAACGTTCACTTTCTGACCATGAGACACGGGTTCAAATCTCACCATAGTCGATTTGTCAGGAAGGAGACTTCCTGATGTTACTGGACTGGAGGGGTCGATCCCAGCGTTCGGCACCTTTGCAAAGTGTCTGAAAACCATAGCAGGCGTTGACCCAAGCCTTGTGAGTGAAATTGGGTAGACAGAACGCTTGGGTGCCGTCGATGGCTCTGCTAGCACGAAGTCACAAATCATCTTGAGCGTGATTGTTCAAATTGTTGCTCACGCGAGATAACACGCTCTTTCCCAGAAACTGCAACTAAGCTCAGATCAGCATAAATCACATGTGAGTGTTGAATAAACACAAATGCGCCTGAGCAAGCGTCTGCAATAGGGATTGGCTAGCCGCCCTAGTAGACGGGTATCCTCGAATACGAGTAGCCAGCTATATCTATCTATCTATCTATCTATCTATCTATCTATATATATATATATATATATATATATTAAAAAGAAGAGAAGAGAGGTACCGCAAACGTTTTTGGTTGTAATGTGGATTTTTTAAAAATGCTTTATTTTCCATAATTTTACTACACGCGTTTCTGGTCTCGCGTCCGTCTTCAGGTAAAAGCGGAGATTTCCACATATTATTAAAAATAATTAATTTTTTCCTTATGTTTTTCAATGTTAAATATTCTCGATATGAGACATTCTCTGTTTTTGTGTTAGTAATCCGAATTTGGTTTTTATCTATCTATGCTAAATATATCTATTAGTCGGTTCATATTCTCAGTCTGTTCATTATCTATCTATCTATCTATCTATTAGTTGATTTTATCTATCTACGCTACCATATTCCTGCGACTGTACACGAAAATTACAATATAGGTTTCCAGCCACATTATGTTGATGTCGCACATTGACGTTCTCAATGGAAATTCTTCTTAAGTCATTGGTATTAAGACACAGCGCTACCCAATTTTTCGGAGAATCCTCGCAGAGTCAATGATGACAGCTTACTCGAAATTAACAATCTCAATTCCAATCTTCGCTAAACACTCTTTCAATTTTTAGGTGGTGTTCCAAGTGCGCCCATTACTACAGAAATTACTTCAACGGTCATATTTCATAGCTTCTTCCAATCCCTAGCCATATCCTGGTATTTTTCAGCTTCTTTGGGAGTCCGCCCTTGTATCATATGGAGCAGCGATCAATACTTTGCCACTTGCTATTCTCCTAATCTGTTACAATAAGATAGAGTCATTGTATTTCATTGGCATGATCTGTCTGTAATCGAGAAATCCCATATCTTGCAACTATTATTTTCTATTACTCTCTTTGGCTGATAATTATAATATTTCTCTTTCACATTGAAGACAAACTTAGGGCTTGCTTCCCAATAGATTCTTTTATCAATCCAATCATGTCATCGCTTATACTCTTTTCGACGTTCACCGAGTATGTTATTAACTGTGTCATCAACTTGTTCACACATCCTGCATTTGCTTTCTTCTTCTGATTTGTCTATCTTGGCCTTGATTGTATTCGTTCTGATGGCCTACTCCTTACTTGCAAACATAAGTGACACTGTCCCTCTCTTTATAGACCTATCTTTCACTCAAAACCAGCTCTGAAGGTTCAGCAATTGTTCTGTCTGCTGAAGAAACTGGCCATGACGTTTCTTTTCTTTTTAAGTTGTCATGCCGCTTCTGCTTCTGCTGTTTCATTGTTCCAATAACTGGCTCAACAATTTCGGCTTATAAATCTCCATCGAGTCTTCGTACGGTTGTCAGAAGCAATTATTATTATTAGTAGTACTCCAAATTATTCCTTGAGTATTTATACTAGGAGTAATTGGTGACCTATACTGAATATTGTGACATGAATTCGCTTTAAAATTTCAGAACTTTACTCGGTATCTGTTGTGGTAAGATCCACCTAATTTGCATAGTGGAGTACCGACCATATAAATATGGTTGGTACCGGGAAGAGAGGAAGGAATCAAGAGATTCAACCAGAGACTCTGCCCGACTGCGACTCAGTCAACACATTCTCCAGGAACGGTCTTACCAGGAATATACAAAAGACTATATGTAAATATTGTGTACACTTTCTTGTTTCAATAAATTTTGTTCTAAGTACATTTTGTGTTGCATTATTATTCCATGCATTAGCCAAGTTTTAACAGTATCCTAACTTTTTTCTACAATGATTCCAACTCTTTCCGTGATTTGCAATTCCTCCAGGCTTTTAGCTGAAGCTCTCGGGGACCGTTCCCAGTGCACCGATAATGACTGGTACGACTGTCATATTCAAGTTCCATAACTTCCTCATTTCTCTATCAAGGTTGAGATACTTATCTATCTTTTCAGTTTCTTTCTGACTTACTCTGCTGTCTAAGGAAACTACAGAAATTCACTGTCGTCTTTTTTTTTGTTGTTTTCTTTTTGTCTACCAGATCCAGTCTACCGGCTTAGATTGGGTCGACAGTCTCTTCTCTTCATTCTACGTTGAAAGCTGTTGTCAAAGTTAAACCTGCCAAGAAATACGTCAAAAAAAGAAAAAAGAAAAGAAAAGAAAAGATTTTGGGAAATACAGACAGTCGCACAACTAGCACATGTTTGAAAACATACACCCTCCACGTCGCCCACGTCGAGGGTCTGTTATCAGTAAACATTCTGCAGAAAGAAGCCCCGCCCTCTTGCAAGATCATGTTCATCAAAGAAATCGGGCGGGACCACCATCAAAGGAATTTCTCTTACAGTTGACACCCACGCACCTCAACTTCAAACCTATTACGTCAAACATGATATACTTGACATTTATACGGGATTTTATGGGTATAAAACTTAGTGTTACGCAGGGATAGATACCAGCTCATTGGCATAAATTGTACCTGCTTGGCTAATTGGTCTGGCACAAGTATCTATCTATCTATCTATCTATCTATCTATATATATATATATATATATATATATATATATATATATTATATTTTATATATATATATATTATATCTAATTATATTTATCTATCTATTATTATTATTTATCTATCTATTCATTATATCTATCTATTCATTATCTATCTATTATATTTATCTATCTATTCATTATCTCAGTCTGTTAATTATCTATGTATCGATCAATCAATCTATCTATGTTAATTATCTTAGTCTATCTATCTATCTATCTATCTATCTATCTATCTATCTATTCATTGTATTAGTCTGTTAACTATCAACCTATCTATAAGTCGGTTCTTTATCTATCGATGTATCTCTCTCTCTCTCTCTCTCTCTATATATATATATATATATATATATATTAGTTGGTTTTTATCTATCTATGCTAATTATATTTAACTATTAGTCGGTTCATATTCTCAGTCTGTTAATTATCTATGTATGTATGTATCGATATATATATATCTATTAGTTGATTCTATCTATCTATGTTACCATATTCCTGCGACTGTACACGAAAATTACAATATAGATTTGCAGCCACATCACGTTGAAACACAGACGATCACTGAAGTTAAGCAACGCCCAGCCTGATCAGCATGTAGATGGGTGACCGTTTGGGAATACCAGGTGCTGTAAGATTGGATGTGCGAAAGGTGTAATAGATAATGGTTCGAAATTTAAATCCGAGAGCCAAGTTCCAATTCTGGTTGGGTTCGTTATATTCACTTACGCGCAAATACCATTGAGAAATGCATGAATCCACTTCTTCTCCTTCCAGCTATGGGTTAATTAGTAAGACATGTATCACTAAAAATATCATTATCTCCAAAAAATAAAATAAAATTGCTTCCCAATTTTTAGATATCGGCATTAAATAACGCGCAGAGGTGTTTCTATGCTACTAAACAAACCGACCAACCAATATTAAGAAATAAGGAAATTTTGTTACAGATATGATATGTCCCGGAAAGGGATATATTTGATCGAAGTAGCTAAGTGTTTTGGCTACTGTAACCAAGTAGTACACGGTAGCTGTAATCGACTGGTACTCGTCGTAGTCGCAGGTAATAGGTGTAGACCAATAGGATAGCCAATGGCTTAGTCCAATGGGAGTCGTCATAGACTTAAACTCTGTCGTACCTACACGTCCGTCTGTATTTATGACGGACACCAGCCAATCATATTCCAGGTGTATACATATTCCATTATATCAAAATAAAAAAAAACTTCTCAACAGCTATGTAATATACAGTGAACTATGATAAGTTTTAGCTACCCTTGATTACAACAATTTTGGCTTGTTTAATAACGTCTCTTTCTTTCAGACAATACCGTGTTAGTATCAAGTTACTCTCATCTCATTAATGAATTTCAACAAGGGCAAATAATAGGATAGCATCAGTGTGGCAAGCCAAATAGAGAAATTGCGAGGTTTTTCCAGGTTAATCATCAAACGGTTAATAATATTGTCAAGAAATTTAATGAAGAAGGCCATTGTCGTGTGGAAGACCAAGCATCGTGTCTGAGCAAACGAAAAGGGCACTGAAATGGGAAAGTCATCAGAAACCGTCGTCAGAGCGTGAAAAGATGTCGCCAACAACATGGAAATGTCGCCATATGCGATGAGAAAGATGTTGCAAGAAAGAAGCCCTTGATTTCAGAGATTAACAGGAACCATCGTATGGACTGGGCGAGAGAATTCGAGAGCAAAGATTATGAATTTTGGCAGTCTGTAATTTGGACAGATAAAAGTAAATTCTGCCAATATTCGAATTCGAGATATGTTTATGTTTGGAGAAATCAGAACGAGACTTGGAACACTGAATGTCTGCAGGCGACTGTGAAACATGGAGGGATTGGAATAATGGTGTGGGTCGCTGTCTGGTTTGGAGGGAAATCTGAGCTGATTCTTGTTGACGAGCGGTTGAATGGTCCAAAATATTGTCAAATATTAGAGAAAGGACGACTCCCACTATTTGAAACCAATCAGATTGACAAGAATGTCTACTTTTTTCAAGAAGATGGAGCGCCATGTCATACGAACAAAGTATCAAAGACCTGGAAGGAATCGCAAGGAATCAAGTCACTGCCATGGGTTGACCAAAATCCTGACATTAATCCAATAGAGCACGTTTGGGAACACCTTGACCGATGACTTCGAGAGAGTTCAACTAAAATCACGTCAGTGGCAACCCGTAAAGAAACATTGGTAAAGGAGTAACAAAATATGGCTCAGACGATTGTTGATAACTTGATCAAATCCATGAAAAATCGAATACAACCACTGAAGCTAGGAAATGAAGGGCCTACTCCATACTAGTTCCAAATACTGTTTTTGTTGAACAGGGATTACGTAATTAAATTTTGAAATTGGATGTAGTTTATTTCTCCTGTAAGTCCACCTATACTGGACACTCTTCTCACAGATGAAGAGGAGACCTGAGACAACAGAGATGTGGTTCTACAGAAGGATGCTGAGAATACCATAGACTGACCATGTGAATAGCGAGGAAGTTCAAAGAAAAACAAGAACAAAAAAGTTCGCCCATACTTAGAATGAGAAAGTGACAGTAGAAAGCATTCTTTCTTCATTAGAAAAGAAGGTTTGGATAATCTGATACTGTTATGGTCCGGTTCCTAGTACCACGGTGATAGTCCAAGGTAGAACCAATAAAGAAGAACTGGAACACGGATATGGAATAACAAAGATATATTACAAACAGGAATATATACAGAGAAGTAGAAAGTGTTAGTACGAACAATCAGGTTTAGTAGTAATTGTCTGAACGCGACTCTGTTTCGGACTGCCTCTGACTCGACTGACTGACTCGCTCGCTTTGCTTGACTGACAGACTCCTGACGGACTTCTGACGGACCCCACTCCAGACTTCAGACTGAACTCTCTGCTTCCTCTCTGAGCTGTATTACGTATGGAATAGTCCATTATGTTATTATGGGTAAGGTCCCATAACAGATACTTACGGGACATATCGAAGGCAAGAAGGACAGAGAGAAACTGCGAGTAATGTGTCTAATAAGCTTGTGGAAACGAATAGCAGAACAGACAAGGATAGTAAAAAAACAAATATTGTTGAGAGTTTGTAAGTGTAAGCGTTCTCAAAGCAAATTTGTCGCAGATTACTCTCCCAACAAACGCCGTAGCCAAAAATGCACGAATTTTCCTTTCTAAGCACTCACTGCTAGTGTCACTTGTTGACATATCTGTACCTACATAGCCACGCAAGTCCTTTATGTGTCTTGGTATGCCATCAACCAGCACAGAGCGCGAGTTACTTAGTCCAGTGACATGCCCCATCCGGTACCGGGTTGTACACCGGCTATGTGGAGCTTTCACCCACACGCGATCGCCCAAGTCATACGGCGCACTTTCGTTTATCCGTTCAGTTGAACGCGTTGCGTTAATGCCTCGTAGCCGTTCGTGAGTGACCGGCTGCTCTCGGTCACTCACGAACGGTTCGATTTGCCGACAGTGGAGCAGACAAAAGATGGACGTACTAACGGCTGATGGAAAGGCTCTCAGAAGCCGGGGAGTTGGAAACATCAAACTCAGTATCAACAACGGTGTATTGGTACAATGTTACTCCGGGAGACAATAATGTATCGCCCTCAACTGCGCCAGCCGGACTTTGTACTGATAAATCATGTTGGCTTCAATTGGTTGAATAACTGCGGCCACTGGTTCAGAATTACAAAGGATAGGATATTGTTTGGTTTGGTTTGGTTTGGTTTGGTTTACGTCATCTCAATCTCAATGAGTTATTTAATGCCGACAAAATTTTCAATGTTCGTAATATTTTTTTTCAAAAATCTATTTCTGGTAATAATTTTCGTTCGCTGGTAATATTTTTTGTCAAAAATGTATTGCTGGTAATAAATTTTTTTTACAAAGTATTTCTGGTATTAAAACCTATTTTTACATTTTCATAGAGTTTTGGCCCCAGTTTGGAGGTTAACTATTTGTCTATAGCTGGGACCCTAACAGGTGCTACCACCCCGGGTCAGGGTGGACCTGGTAACACCAGCAATGAAAAGGTGGTTCCACACTCCTCAAAACCTCCTGATCAGAGATCTTGTTGTTGGACGTAGTTTATCGTCTTACCTAGGACGCCGATGTAGTTTATCGTCGTACCCAGGGCGGGAGAGGATATTGTGGAGGGCCATGATCGCCCATGGCACACAGAAGAAGAAATGATTTCAGTTCTCGTTGTGTGCCCTAAAATTGTGACCTAAGCTTAATAAATGACGACAATCTTTGGCCAGTAAATCACTTGAGAAATTCTTCGTTATTCCGTATTTTCTTTTCCGATTCTGTAAAGTCTGAACGTTGGAATAAACAACAAAAAATGTTTACTTGAATGTAAGAGAAATGTTTACCGCGAAAAATTTGTCCGGAATTGATAAGGTCCTTCTTGAGGCATTTCACAGCGGAAAGAAACACTTTTTATTTTCCGGTTAGAGAAACGAGGTGTGGTCACCCATGTAAACTTCAAACAAAAATGCCCCATAATAATTTCTTCCACATCTTCCAGAAGAGTGAAATTAACAGGCTACTAGTTCTAAAATGTCGTCATTGCATCTTTTTTTAAAAATGATTTCTGTTTATGGGCGTGTTATTGTAACACGGTAAAATAAGCACATCTTAGCGTGATTTTCGTCAGTGCAATATAGTTAATATACACTAACTTTAAGAATAAAAAGAATCCTATTTCACTTGCATCTTAACGACACCATCAACAATATAACTAGAAATACTCGTGAACATTTTGCTATTTTCATTTTTCATGAATTTTAATTCTTAAGTTAATGATTGAATAAGCTCCTTGTGAGTTCTACATTAAAATACCCGTGGAAATTCCCCAACTGCGTCGTTAAATATTAGAACTCGACAACTTTAAGCAAGTATTACAATAACAATAATAATTATGAATGCAAGTCAGTAAGAGAGTAAAAAAGGAAAATATTTGAAATTGACAAGTTTATAAAATTTCACTGAAGCAGACGTTAAATAAATGAGAGAGTTATTGGCTCTTTTCTCCTTTCTCTTTTTCATTCTTTCAGTCTGTCTTTCGCTGAAATCAAATAACGTCGTTGATATGTCTTTTCCATCTTTACTTGCAATCAAAACGGAATAATCCATTATTTATTAAATATTGTTATGGTGTAACGTACGTGCTGACTAAGGAACAAGCAGAATTATAATTCGATATCTATCTATCTATCTATCTATCTATCTATCTATTACGGCTCGTTCATATCTATCTATCTATCTATGTATGTTTGTTCATATCTATCTATCTATGTTTGTTTGTTCATATTCATGTATCTATCTCAGTTTGTTCATATCTATCTATCTATCTATCTATCTATCTATCTATCTATCTATGTTTGTTTGTTCATATTCATGTATCTATCTCAGTTTGTTCATATCTATCTATCTATCTATCTATTTATCTATCTATCTATCTATCTATCTATTACGGCTCGTTCATATCTATCTATCTATCTATGTTTGTTCATATCTATCTATCTATCTATGTTTGTTTGTTCATATTCATGTATCTATCTCAGTTTGTTCATATCTATCTATCTATCTATCTATCTATCTATCTATCTATCTATCTATCTATCTGTGCCACGTCTCCCTCTAGCTAGTTATTAAACATATATTATGAAATTACTCTTTAAATTGGATAAGAACTTCGTTGTTAATCTATCTCAGTCTGTTCATATGTATATCTATCTTTTTAAAAAAAAATCGGGATCAACCCATGCAAGGCAGTAAAGCCACTAAGGGGTTACAGGGCGTGGAAGAATTAGAAATGAGCAGAAAGAGAAAAGAGTAATCAGGAGGACAGTAGATAACGATTAACACTGCATTTAATTTTTGCAGATTAAAGTTGGTTGGAAACCATGGAGCCGGCAGGGAGTTCCACAAGCTAAGAAGTGCGAGAAAAGAAACTGTTAACATAGAACTTACGGCTACATCTAGCCAGCTCAACTGCAAATCTCGATGCTGGTCTCGTACTGCGCTCAAATTCAAAAAGTCTAGGTACCATAGCGAAGCATTTATTCGAACAATTTTAATTGAAGGTATTTATAGAAAAGACACCGAGAAGCAACCTTCACTTTTCCACCTGGCAGTGCGAAAGTGACTGAAGCCGAGTTGCCAGATCAGGACCAATAATATTGCTTATCCTTCTTTGGATCTTATCAAGGAGCACAAGATAAATAGTAGGTGCACTGGATCATATGTGGAAGCAATATTCTAAGCATGGCGAAGGGTAGGCTTATAGATATGTAAGATAGATCTATCTATTTATCTCTCAGTCGATTCATATCTATCTGTCTGTCTATGTATCTATCTATCTATCTATCAGTCGGTTCATATCTATCTATCTATCTATCTATCTATCTATCTATCAGTTGGTTCATATCTATCTATCTATCTATCTATCTATCTATCAGTCGGTTCATATCTATCTATCTATCTATCTATCTATCTATCTATCTATCTATCTATCTCTCAGTCGGTTCATATCTATCTATCTATCTATCTATCTATCTATCTATCTATCTATTAGTCGGTTCATATCTATCTATCTATCAGTCGGTTCATATCTATCTATTAGGTCGGTTCATATCTATCTATCTATCTATCTATCAGTTGGTTCATATCTATCTATCTATCTATCAGTCGGTTCATATCTATCTATCTATCTATCTATCTATCTATCTATCAGTCGGTTCATATCTATCTATCTAGCTAGCTAGCTAGCTATGTATAACGAATTCCCCTATCTCTTCACGTTTCAACCAACAGGACTACACCATTCTCAACACCAGATGCGTGTTTTTAGTTTCTTCATTTAAGCCTCAAATCGATATATTGTTAAAATTCAGATTTTCGAGAAAATCCCAACGATGACTCATATTCAGTTCAATAAATTACATTTAAACATATTTTATTAATTTCTGTTTAAATTTCTGGGATGAGGTATTATCATTATTTACATTATTTATATTCGGACTAATATCCTCATATTTGTTGTTGTTATCACGAAGTTTAAGGAGGGGAGCATATCCTTTGACATCGGCAATGGAAGGAGAACAGTCTACCCTTGTAGTTTAAATGAAGGCTTCATTTCGTAATTCCCTGTAGGTTTCCCAGATCAGTATAAACCTGATGATAGCCGGATGGCACAACGGCCGAAACGTCGCGATAACAACTACAAAAATGAGAACAATAGTCCAACTGGAAATGATCGCGAGATTTGTGCGAGATTTCAGTCAAGTTTTCGTGACTGAAATCTCGACCAAATCTCTACAGGGAATTTCGAAATGAATGTCCGTTTTCGTGAGTTTTATATTATTTTATTTCTTATTTTACTACTACTTCGTTATTGCTCGGCTGCTTCCATTGAGTCCAAGTACACACTGCCCGGCCTAAGGATTGAACACACAATTGCTGCCAACAAATTCGCGAAGCAACGCTTTAATACATTAGGTTATTGCCCCGTAGGAAATGCCTGTAGGGTTACCCGGATCGATATATACCTGATGAAATAACTGAACAGTAGTAAAAATAAGAACTAGACGAAGTATCCCTAAATATGTGCAGTGGAAGGAGAACAGTCTACCGCTGTAGATTAATGTTGTGACCAAGTAAATGGAGAAGAATAACAAGACAAGAGGTTGCAGATAAATAGTGTATTGAACAGTAAATACAACAGAAAAGTGTTACACGACTTGGGAGTGTGTGTCGGTTCGCCAGTGTTCAGTAAATCACTGTTTCCCCCGAGGCCTACTTTACCTAGTAGCTTTATAGTAAGTTGAAGAGTCCATCGTAGCCTCATTAGAACAACAATTAAATAAAGTGTTCAGTTGAAAATTCCTCGTAGATCGATATTCACTTGTGGAAGGCCAGACGACACAGCGACCGAAACGATGTGTGATAGCAAGAAAGATGGCGACTACAGTCCGAATATAAATAATTTAAATAATGTTTAAATAAATAGAAAGAACAGGCAGTATTGGCGAAAAGGATCATGTGACCCCCCCCAAATCTCCGACTCTCTTATACACCCCATCCCCTATTCTATTACATTTCAATTTTCATATTTTACCGAAATTCCGCCATAACATTGTATTTGATTTTTTTTTTCACTTTTTGGAACAAAGTTCTTTTCATCTCTTGCCGCTGGCAATTATGTGTGAAAAATAATATCGCCCAAATGTCCACCAGATCTGAAAGAAAAAGAAAAAAATCATTAGACGCTTAAAATTAATTCACATTTAAAATCAGTCCAAGTTATTCGAATACCCTTTACTATATAAAACTCGTGCTTATTAACCACATTTCTTTACCGAAAACTATTTTGAAAAGACCACCGTTGTATATCAGTTCTCTTGTCCTTTGGGAACTGTTTCTCACTTGATAATAACATCAACATATATTGGTCATACCGTAACATTCCCTTGAGAGTCATTTGTCATCTCCCTGAACAAATTAACATAAATTCATGGCGTCCCCTCTAATTTCCATCGAAAATATATTTTGTCAAACCAACAAAAAAAAAAAAAAAATGGATGAAAAATTCTTTGTCCTTCATATCAAAGGACGTCAACCATTCATCCGTTTTGTCACGTTAATGTAGATTTTGTTCTTGAGAAACAAAATTCTTTTCCTGATGATGCTGATCATTTGCGATATTTGTCGAAGGAATTTTTTCCAAATTTTCTTATATATTTCCTTTTCCGTTAGATTCTCATCCAACTTTACTCAAGCAAACGCACGCACACACACACGCACAAACGCACGCATAGATAGATAGATAGATAGATAGATAGATAGATAGATAGTATATGGACAGATAGATAGATAGATAGATAGATAGATAGATAGATAGATACGAACAGACTGAGATAGATGAATACGAAAAGATTCAGATGGATAAATAGTATATGGATAGACTGAGATAGATAGATAGATAGATAGATAGATAGATAGATAGATAGATAGATAGATAGATAGATGTTTTCTAAATCGTGTTGGTTGTCTATTTCCATGAACAACGATGTGGGCTACGCCTATTTGGTTTTCCAAGACGCCGTTATGTAGTGATGTTAAATAACTACGAAAAAAGGACACTTCCTGTCTTCTTTCTTCCTTCTCTCTTTTCCTTTTAGCACGCAGTAAAAGTAACATAAGCACAGGATATCTTCTCCCCCGCCTTTCTAATTGCTAACTTTTAACGTCTATTTGTTTCAATTATATCTACAATCACACAAGTGTATTTTCTCTCATTTGTTAATGAGTCAATTGTTATGTAAAGACACAGGAAAATATCGTCTTGTTGAATTTGATTCCATTTTCTTTCACTTTTACGAACAATGATCACCCGTCATTTTCATGCATATATCTTGTCTGCCACTCTTCAACAACCAGCAGTAGGGCAAGAACTCTAACCCAGCTGTCAGGCCCATCGAATGTAATTTTAGAGAATGATCTGTAAAGATAAATGCTGAGAAATCATACTCAACTTTGCTGAATTGAAAGGTTTTCTCTTTGTAATGCTCGGTTAAACTCGGTAATTTTCGTGCTTTCAGCAATGTGGTTTTTTTTTTAAATATTTTATATATTTCCCTCACTTTTTACAATGGCAACACCATTTTTTTCAAATGTTTTCTTCCATTTCCTCCCAATTTTCTTGTTTATTATCTATTTAAATTTTTTTGATAGATATGCACAGAATGAGATAGATAGATAGATAGATAGATAGATAGATAGATAGATATGCATAGAATTAGATATGCACAGAATTAGATAGATAGATAGATATATAGATCGATATGCACAGAATTAGATAGATATGCACATAATTAGATATGCACAGAATTAGATAGATAGATAGATATGCACAGAATTAGATAGATAGATATGCACAGAATTAGATAGATATGCACAGAATTAGATATGCACAGAATTAGATATGCACAGAATTAGATAGATAGATAGATAGATAGATAGATATGCACAGAATTAGATAGATATGCACAGAATTAGATATGCACACAATTAGATAGATAAGATAGATATGCACAGAATTAGATCGATAGATAGATATGCACAGAATTAGATAGATAGATAGATAGATAGATAGATATGCACAGAATTAGATATGCACAGAATTAGATAGATAGTTAGATAGATAGATAGATAGATATGCACAGAATTAGGTAGATATACACAGAATTAGATAGATAGATAGGTATGCATAGAATTAGATATGCACAGAATTAGATAGATAGATAGATATATAGATCGATATGCACAGAATTAGATAGATATGCACATAATTAGATATGTACAGAATTAGATAGATAGATATGCACAGAATTAGATAGATAGATATGCGCAGAATTAGATAGATATGCACAGAATTAGATATGCACAGAATTAGATATGCACAGAATTAGATAGATAGATAGATAGATAGATATGCACAGAATTAGATAGATATGCACAGAATTAGATATGCACACAATTAGATAGATAAGATAGATATGCACAGAATTAGATCGATAGATACATATGCACAGAATTAGATAGATAGATAGATAGATAGATAGATAGATAGATAGATAGATAGATGGATATGCACAGAATTAGATATGCACAGAATTAGATAGATAGTTAGATAGATAGATAGATATGCACAGAATTAGGTAGATATACACAGAATTAGATAGATAGATAGATATGCATAGAATTAGATATGCACAGAATTAGATAGATAGATATATAGATCGATATGCACAGAATTAGATAGATATGCACATAATTAGATATGCACAGAATTAGATAGATAGATAGATATGCACAGAATTAGATAGATAGATATGCACAGAATTGGATAGACATGCACAGAATTAGATATGCCCAGAATTAGATAGATAGATAGATAGATAGATAGATAGATAGATATGCACAGAATTAGATAGATATGCACAGAATTAGATATGCGCACAATTAGATAGATAAGATAGATATGCACAGAATTAGATCGATAGATAGATATGCACAGAATTAGATCGATAGATAGATATGCACAGAATTAGATAGATAGATAGTTAGATAGATAGATAGATATGCACAGAATTATATATGCACAGAATTAGATAGATAGATAGATAGATAGATAGATAGATAGATAGATAGATAGATAGATATGCCCAGAATTAGATAGATCGATATACACAGAATTATATAGATAGGCACAGAATTGGATAGATAGATAGATAGATAGATAGATAGATAGATAGATAGATAGATAGATAGATATGTACAGAATTAGATATGCACAGAATTAGACAGACAGATAGATAGATAGATAGATTTATTTATTTGTGCATACATTTAAGTTATGCGGCCATCCAACTGCCACGTATTCATGACGTGATTTTATCTTTTCGGTTGAATCACTTTTAAAGAAAATCGCTCAAAAGTACGCCATGCTGTTATTTGGCACACAGCCCCGTTCACGTTACAAACTTATAAACAAACCCGAATCAAGTTGCGTAGACAAAAGAGTGAAAAATACGGTTTGAAACAGGCCGTTGTTAGGAAGGTCTACACGAGACAGGAGATTTCATTACCCTAGATTTTTTTCGTTTCTGCCCTCGTTTGAGCTCCACCCATTTGTCGGGTATATCCAGATTGTCGCTGGCTTGCTTGCTTTCTTACTTTTGGTTTTTTCTCACTGTTTTTTTTT